TTGTGCAGCAATGTACGTATTCACAAAAGGCAAAATGTGTTTCCTGTGTGAAGAATCAAGCCCATCCCATCCTCAGCTCAAGACCTACAGCAAACAACATGTTTTTTTTTTCCCTCATTCCTCTACAGAGAAGACTGCTAACTTTTCTTTGGGTGGTATTGGAATTTTGCACCTGGAAAATGTGACAAATGCTATTTTTCTGTCTGTAACTTTTCTGATGTTCAGCTGATGCTGATTACAAATAGACATGAGCCCTCTTGATACAGACTGAAGGTAGTAGTCAAATTGATAATCTAGTCCAAAAGAACCTGTTTGGTTTGTCTCCCAGACTGATTGCTACTTGAGTTAAATATGTTTATGATGGAAATACTAAGGTATCAAGTATACTGTAAGGTTTAAAATAAGTATTTTTTGTCTTTGGATATCATAATTTTTTCTTAAATATTAATCTTCTGGAACAAGAACTCTTTGAGAATCTATTATCATGATTTCACTGTTCAGTGTTCTTGAGACAGAAGTAATGGTCCAAACTTGCATGTTTTATAAAAATTGCAGAATGTTTCTTCAAACTTTGTACAAGAAATTTTGCATTTGCTAATTCCAAAACTTACAAAAAACGTTTGCTACACATTGATCTGAAAGGTCAATTTTCTTTTTCTTCTCAAGTGTTAAGTGAGAAGTGTCCATCTTAACATAAGCTCTCAGCAGTATCGCACCAGCAAAATTCCTTGGGGAAGATAACAGAGAAGGAAGACTGCTTGTTCAAATGGCTTGTTCTGAATACCAAAATTTGCAGCCCCAAACACTGGTGGAACTGTCATGGAGGGCCTGGGATAACATCTGGCTTTTACTTCATCCATGTATTATAGCTGAAATAAAAACAACACGTCCATGCATAGACATCATCTAGCAGAACTACAAAATGTCTATCAGAGTCCTAAGTATCACTGACTCGGCAATATGATCTCTGCTCCCCCCACCCACTCCCCAAAGTGCTTCATATACCCCCCCCCTCCCCCATGAATGTATGTATCCTGGAGGCCAACATCAGGAGAATTTGTTTGATTTCTCTAGTGAGGATAGTGAATCTACAGGAAAAATTGCAAGTAAACAGGCTGGACTATTTCCATGTGCATTTTCTAGCAAGTGCTGCTTTTCTGAAATCACTTCTTTGTATATCTGATGGACATTTTTGAGGCTTTTCATGAAAAACTGACATTTCTGACATGTTTATGCAGATCACAGGAATATTTTATCCTAGATTTTTCGTATTTGAGGTAAATAAAGGAGAGCAGTGGTTTTAGGATAATCCTGAGGTCAGAGTTACTGTTGGTGTAAAAGTAGGCATTACTGAAAGTCACTTTGACAAGTACAAAACATAGTAAAATGATTGAAAAATGATTCTCCCACATTTACCACCGCAAGCCCTTTTATTTTTTTTCCCCTAGGGAACTGAGACTAAGAGAAACCACAGGCTGATTTAAAGGAATTAAGTTCTCTAAGGGAATTTTACTGCTGAACTCGAAGGCCATTGAGTGGGATGGAGGAGTTAGGTTTTCCTGGCAGGCCTGGGCTTTGGGGGAGGTATCACGGCTAAGGCACCAGGATGATATCCTCTGCCTTTGGAGTCTGTCCTGAGCATTCCCTAGGCTGTGCTGTGCCAGGAAGTCCATGAAGGGAGCAGGATGGCTCTTTGGCTGTCAGTCTGCAAGCAGTCCTACGTGTCCCTAGGGCTGCAGGAAGAGGGTTGGTCATGAGATCAGAAGGGGGATGGATCCTGAGAAAACAACTGTTTAGGGTGTTGGGCTGTGTTGTACATGCTGGTTTTGTGCTTTAACCTACTCTGTATCAGGGAGTCTTAAAAATACCTAGGATGTCATTAAAAATAGCAGCCCTTAAGTTTTTAGATCCATTAAAGTAATGACTACTACAAGCCATACATAGTAGTTGCTGTAGGATAGTTGATATTGGCTGCAATTAGAAACAGCATTTGTGTTTCTTACTGCTTTTCTCTTTTAAAAAAATCTACATACACTCAAAAAAAAAAGGTTTTAAATTCCCAGTGTGAGGACAGAAGCCTGATGTAGGGGAGGATTTCAGTGTGATTTGTTCTCCATTTTTCTGAAATGTCTTGAAATAAACCTGTCCCTGTGAATATGAGGCAGGAAAATACATCAATAGAAATTACTTGAAACTACACAATACTGGGGTTTTTTTCTTACTCACAGAATGTCCAACACACACATCATTGCTGTTCCTGACAAAGGTGTATTATGGGAGGAGGGCAGGAAGAGGAATAGGTTTCTGTCATTAATTGACTTCCTACAGTATTATTTTGAGACTGTATTGATACCAGTCAGATGTGACTAAATGTGATTAAAAATCTCCATTTTAAGTAATCAGAGGGTTACTTTAGAGGAAGTTTGGGCACTTCTATTTTTAGTGATTTGAGTAGAAATCATGGTAACCTTTTTGTTAAAGCTGCCTCTTGAGTGTGGAATTTGCAAGTACCAAGCTACTTTTGGTATGTTATTCTTACAAACTGGTCCTGTTCTCCAGAGTGCTGAATACTTTCAGTTTTCAGGTACTGTTTCTTTCCTCTGGTCTTGTGTGGCTCTTCTTTATTAATTATAAATCATCTTTTGGGTTGGGATGAATTTCCATACCACTGAGTATGCACACAAAGATTTCATGATCTAACTGAAGTATGGTCTGGCTATAGCTAAGCAGAGCCCCAGGAGGAAGGAAACTGCAGCGTTTGCAGCAGCATTAGTGTCTGGCAGGCTTACCAAGATGGGCTGATTCTGACATAGATTGACCAAATATGCCTGGATCTGGAGCACTGACTGACTAGATTTTTATTAAAAGGTATATAACAACAAAATCATGACAGTTCTGGGCTTCATAGTTTATGTTCTCCAAGGACACCCTCTAAAGTTGTGTCTGACTGGGGCATTTGGGTGTGCATTTCGAGAGGCTCCAAACAGCAGTTACTTTTAGCTCACAAACATGTATTTTCACAGTACCTAAAAAACAGCGATATGTGCAACTTCAGAAGCTCTTCTATCCCTAAATGGCACCAAAGAGAGCAGGTGCACATGAACCAATTTAGTACTGAATGCATTTGTTACACTCATTTCTATCAATTTATTTTGTATATAGAGCTTTTTATACACATTTTTCTTAATTACATAACTGTCATGAAGCTATGAGTTGTAGTTTATTTTAATGCAGATTAAAACTGGTGTTTGGCCATTTGTTTTCTGAAGCTATTACTTGAATTTGTTTCCTATTAGGTAGTGAAGTCTGATTATGTTTACAGGATCACTGTCTTTGGTTTTGGGAGATTTCCCCATTTTTCCTACCCACCCTGTCCTAAGAAACAGAGAGCTCAGGCTCAGCAGTCAAGCAGATGTGTCAGAGATGAAGTATTTGTATTACTTTAATTATCACCAAAGCAGTGGGGGTGACATGCTGATCCCCTTCCGTTTACACTGCTTAGCTAACAACTTAAGACACTTAGCATGGTCCTCTCTGATTTCTCCTGTCCCTTATCCTGTTATCAGCTTTATTGTGGGAAACTTAAATCTTCGTGAATGATGATTTACAATCATGAAGCTATCCCAGGAAGAAGCAGCGTTCCTGCTGTTAAGTCTGTTCTGTTTTTAACTTAGATGAATGAAACATCCCTGGGTCATCTCTGCAGTTCCTTTTGTATTTGCCAGCAAGGGTCATCAACATTTGCACTAATCACAATGTCCCAGCTGTTCCTACTTCCACAAAGTTGTTTTTTTTAATTGTGCTGCCTAAACTTGTAATAAGCTGTATTTAAGTTTGGGATGACATGTAAAAGATACCTGTAATAATGATGCACTTATTGTATTTTTTTGTATGTTACAGATAGGACTCATCCTATGCAGAGAGAAAATGTTTCCATTTATAGTTTAATACTTGAAGTAACTTTTTGAAACGGGCTTTTATAAATGAATTAAATACAAAATCACATTGCTTTGCCTGGAAGTTTCTTCATGTTTTAATTGTATTTGCAATTTCCCCCTATATATACTTTTCCATTAAGTTCTCTTAAGCCATTTATAACCAATGAAAGTGCATTCAAGATTTTGTACATCAGTGTTCAGACTTGTTCATATTTCTCTGAAGTATAATTCATGTTTAATAAAAAAGTACCATTTTAAGCCTCTTTTCCAAAGTGGTATGGACTTGACACTTGAATTCATCAGTGAATGCAACATCAACTTAATAAAAGTATGTGAAAGAATCTGAAAAGTGCTCAGCTGTAGCATCTGTGTATTAAATCAGGGAGAAAAACTGCCTACCTGGGAGGCACTGCACCATTGCTCTGGTTTTTACACTCCAGCTGCAACAAACCTAAGATTACACTCACTCCTGACACATCTTGGAGGTCACTGGGTCTTGTGGGGAAATAAAAAGCCTGACTTGTGGCTAACTCCTATTCCTTCAGGTCACTAAGCCTGACTTAGAAGTCAACTGCTCAAGCAGGAATCAGCCATGTTCCTTTTAGATGAGGAACAATCTGTGTAAGAGAGCTGTAACACCCAAGCTGACACTGACAATGACACTGGCAGTTAAAATCAACAATTCTTTCCAGAAAGTTTTTCTAAAAATGGAAAATTCTATAACATTCCATGAATTCCAGCTTCATCCCCCTGTCTCTGCAGTTCTAGTTCCCCTTGATCCTTGGATGCCTGACTGCAAGTGTCATGTCATGTCTCAAGTACTGGTGTACACAGAACAATGCCTGAGGAAGGGAAAGTGACCAGCTCAAGCCATGTGGCCAGTACCAGCAGATGAGACCTTTCAACACTCCAGGCTTTCAGAAGGCAATCACTGAAGCTATAAACTAGGTTATCTATAAATCACCACCCCTGCACCTGGTAACATGCTGTTTAAGCCCTGAAGAACAGAAGGTTGGCAGATGGTAGACAGCCACACAAAGAACTTCTCTAACAAAGCAATAATAAGAAAACATATGCTGTTCCAGAGGACTACTTTTAATGCAGCATTTTGTACACCACAGCAAAGTCTTATTTGTCACCCACCCTAATTACAGTGAATTACCATAATAGGTATGAGAGCAGATCCCACGGTAGTGCATGACAGGTGCCAAATATAAATATGCTGTATTTATTCAACATGTCCACTTCTTTGACACATTTAAGTGGTTTAAATGATCGCTGATGTATCTGTGCTCAGGAAACTTGGCTTGTTTCAGGCTTTTGAAAGCTTCCCACTTCGCACGTCTCTCTTCAGCGTTGTGTTTGTATTCCTGTTCCGGTGTCAGGTAAGGTTGGCTGAGCCAGTATTCATTCTCTGCTTCAATTTCCAACCTTCGGATCATTGCTTGCTTCATTGAAGTGGTAACCTGTCTTGGTTGCCTGTACTTCCCAATCCACTGTTTTCCAGGAATTCTCTTCCGCAGTAATACTGTTGTTAAAAACATTATGCCTTAAAACATAAACAGAAATACAAAATACTCATTACCTTAGGGACAAAAATAAAATTTTGACGAGATTAAAAGCTCTGCACTCACTCCACTGCCTCTTAGCTGGCCGGTTTGAAGTTTCACGCTCAGAACCTGGTACTCACAAACCATCACACACAGCAGGCAGCACAAGGCCACGTGCACTAGAAACTTAAGAATCAGAAAAGGGGAATTGAAATCTGTGTAGCTTAAGAATTTATTCAGTTATCCTTACACTGCAATTAAAACATATCCTCCATTAATTATTTAAGAAAAATCCAGTTACAGATATTCAAGAATGAAGGGTCCGCTTCCCTCACGCCTTCAAATAGCTGTGTTGTCAAAACAGAGTATTTCCAGCTCTGTCTTCTCACTCCAAATCTGACCTTTCCTCAGCATTAAGTTTGGAACTACAGTCTCTCCGTAAGCTTATTAGTATGTAATTACCTAGTCCTGTATCCTGACCGAAGGAAACCTGGTTGGTAGAGAAAAACAATATCCTGAATTAGAGCAAGTGGCGTAAGCGGAAAGCACCACGAGACTCTGACAGAACACGCCGGGTGTAAGGGGCAGGAAAGGCCAAATGACGTTCAGACTTTACGCAAATGCTCCTCGTTAACCTGTTCATTAGTCCCAAACCCGCTAACACCCAGGTTATTATATCCCAGGTTATTATATCCCGCATTACAGGGGATTCCATCAGCTTTAGAGTCACAGAAAACGCGGAGTTGGAACGGACCCAACAAGGATCACCGAGTCCAACTGGCCCTGCACACGACATCGCCAGGAGCCACACCATGTGCCTGAGAGAACTGTCCAAACCCTTCACGAACTCTGTCAGCCTTGGTGCCGTGACCAACCAAGTCAGCCAAGCACTTGTACCACAGCGCAAACCAGCACTGCCGCTAAGGGAAGCCAACCCACCCCGTTCCTACGGTGCAGATACACGCCGGCATCCTCCTCTCTGGTCCGATTTAGAAGTGAAGCCGCGGGGATCCGCGGGGGCACCACCGCCCCAGTCCCCAGCTCCCCTCCCGGCCTCACTCACCGAGGAGCTCCGGCGGCGGCGGCGTCCCGCGCGGAGGAGTCAAGATGGCGGCGGGCGGGGGCCGCGGCTCTCGCGAGAGGCGGCGGTGGGTGGGGCCCGGCGGCACCAATGGGGCTCGCGCTGGCGGCAGTTTGAAGCCCCTCAGCCGCGCGCGCGGCCCGGCCCGGTTCGGTTTCGCTCGGCGCCGCCTCGATCCCGCTGCCTCCGCTCGGAGCCATGGACGACGTGACCAGAGGCTTCTTCGGCAAGCTGCGGGACCTGGCCCTCATGGTGGAGAAGGAGGTGAAGCAGCTGGAGCGGGCCATGCGCCGGGAGGACTCCGGTAAGGGCAGCCCGCGGCCATGGGCGGCACGCCAGGGCCTGGTGGCTTCGCAATTGTTCCTCCTTGCTCCTCTTGGGGCTCCTTGCTCGGTTTGCGTTCCCGCCTGCCACCGTTCCCCTGTGCTCCCCTGGGAGTGCCTTTGGTGGGCCTGGAGGTCAGCCTGGGAGTTGCCCGGCTGGGAATTGTTTGGGATCCTCCTCGTTATCTCTCTGAGCTCCTTTGTGGGTGTGTGGCTGAGTTTTTATCACGGAGAAAAATAGGATGACTGGGATGAAATGGAAATCACATTCCTGCTTCTCTTTCTTTTCGTGGATCGATATGGGAAAACATTTGCAGGGCACGGTCTCTCTCCGGACAGATAGCTCAGGCTTCTAATTGCGCTTATCTTGTCACGTAGCAGGCGCCGTCTTTTACACTATTTGCATTAGTCTTGGTTTCTAGTGAAACAAGTGGTGATTGCTGCGTTGAGTAAGTGAGCAGTGCATCTGCCCAAGTGCAAATACGAGGGGAGAATTCAATTTTTTGCTGATATTTGTTTTTCACTGGTCTCTATATTACTTTTTTTCTGATTTCGTCCAAAGCTCTTTAACGTAATTTTAACGTAAGTAATTCTTGACAGCCCAGGGACCTACTTGTTTTATCAATATCTGTCATATACATTATTAGCTGCAACATTAAATGGAAGCCTGGGCAGTGTCTCTGTGGAGTTTAACACACTGTAAAAAGAGCAGGTTTTTGCTGTGTAAGGTACCTGACAGGAACTAGTTCTCTTTGGTTTTGTCTGTACTGACTCTCTTTCTCTAATGTATGAATCCAACGTGTCTAAAATTATAGAAACAGAATGGTTTGAGTTGGAATGGACCTTAAAGGTCGCCTAGTTCCAACCCCTGTCAAGGGCAGGGACACCTTCCACTAGACCAAGTAGCTCAGAGCCCCATCCAACCTGATCTTGGGCACTTCCAGAGATGGGACATCCACAGCTTCTCTGGGCAACCTGTTCCAGAGTCTCATCATTCTCACAGCAAAGAACTTCCTCCTTATATCTAGTCTAAATCGTCTTTCTCTTAGTTTGAATCCATTCCCCTTGTCCTGTCACTACATGCTTTTGTAAACAAAGTCCTTAAGCAGCCTCTCTTCCAGGCTGAACAATCCCAGTTCTCTCGGCCTTTTCTTGAAGGAGAGGAGCTCCATCCTTCTAAACATCCTGGTGTCCCTCCTCTGGACTGGCTCCAGCAGGTCCATGTGCTCCCTGTGCTGGGACCCCAGAGCTGCTGCAGCCCTGCAGGTGGGGTCTGAGCAGAGCAGAGGGGCAGAATCCCCTCCCTGGCCCTGCTGCCCACGCTGCTCTGGATGCAGCCCAGGACACCTTTGGCTTTCTGGGCTGGGAGTGCACACTGACAGCTCATGGCCAGCCTCTCATCTGCTAATACAGGAAATTGCATTTCCATGTAGATTGTTACTTTCATGCTGAAACACTAAGACACCTCTTTTGTTTTCTAAACTATTTTATGTGAACATGTGTCTTGAAGACTATGAAGATGAATCTCCACTAACAGTCTTGCTTGACCTCCATTGCCAAATCAAGACTCAGAAGGTAACATCTTAACTTGCTTCCTTGTTGAAAAATTACATGTGTGTGCATGTTCCATAGACTGATGGTTCTGTTTTGATCATTATGACACAATTCAACTTTGTTAGTCAGCAATTATAGCCCTTATTTTTATTCTCTTATCCCTAAGTCCTCATAATAACCATGGATGTTGGGATAATGCCCAAAAACTTGTGGGTGACCCAAAGTAGGTTAGCAATGTTTCTTAGTTTGCAGTCACTATTGTCACTCAGGTCAGCAAGGAACAAAGGTTACAAGGGAGTTGTAGCTGTGCCAAGGTATGAGGAGAATGACTGAGGAACAGCAGCCATCAACAAAAAAGATAAGCTTGAATGTTTTCCATGACCAGCCTTTAGAACAAAACCAATCTTCACAGAAGTTTCAGTACCTTCAGCCATTTAGTTCAGCTTGTGAAAAATGTTGTCTGTTTCTTATACAGAACCAGAAAAAATGGGTTATAGAAATGAGCAATATAGAAATAATTTAGTGATATTAAAAGTGAGGTTTACCTTCTCCTCTGCACTAATTCTTTGTACATATGGAGTAAGAGTCCAAGTTAATTGTTGTTATTTCATATTTTTCTGGAGTAAAAGCATATAATTCTCTTGGCAAGGTTACCAGTAAGTAGTTATCATATTGTAAACTGTCATTACAGTTACTTTTGTAAGTTTCCATGCACTTATGCCCTTTATATTCCTGGTATTCCATAGGTATATATGTCTGATGGTTTTCAGGTATAGAAAAGACCCAAATTCACTGCTTATCTTCATCTAAATTGCAGTTGAATACTTACTCCCAAAATGCTTAATGTGTAAACAACTACCATGGGATGATTTGAAAACCAGTATTTCTATATTCCCCTCTCTGTCCCCAAAGAAAGATGTTAGTACCAGTCTTGGCAAGAGTTACTCTGAAAAAGAAGCAATTCAAGAATTTATGAAGGCAAGTGAAACCTTGATGCAAAGAAATGCAGCACATCTTGGAAAAATAAGAGAGCTGTTCCAGAAATATGGCTACAAACCACATGTCAAAGACTCTACAGGTAATATTTCTTGTCAGTACAGTATATGAAGGAAAGTATTTTTATAAAATGTTTCTCTTTAGCTATGTGTATATTTCTGTTAGTCAGGAGATCAAGTACCTCCATGTCATTTGCTTTATAGCAATATCCAGAGGGTGAAAGATTTTGTTGTGATTGATAAATTTGGTTTGTGATAAACCAAAACACAAACACTTGGAATTAGATCTTCTGGCATGCCTTTAGGTGTGTTGGGTTTTGGGTTTTTTTCAGTAATAATTATATTCAGAAAATATGTTAGCAAGTATGTTTCTATAACCCAGAGAATTACACTGCTTCAGCTTCTCATGCATGAGGAAATATTGTAGATCCACCTCATTTGATTTGTATTCACATGTGATGGTTTCATTAAATTAAATCACCCTAGAGAATATCTTAAAATATGTGTTTCACAGCACAAATGGAAGAGAAGAATTATAGGAATTAGATGGCATGTGACAAGCAATAGCATCTTGATCCTTGGAGGGGAAGGAGGTCCTTAATCCAGTCAGAAAGTCTGCATACCACTGTCTGAAAAATCCAGATGTGCCAAATGAGTTAAAGTACTACACCTGTCAATGCAACACATACTCCATTTGGTATCAAGGGCCCAATCAGGCTTCAAAAAGCCTTTGACAGGGTCTTAACCTTCTCTGAGCATTATCCCAGTCATTACACAAAACAAAATTATGGTTGTGAACCATATTGATGCCAAGTTTAGTTCCTATAGCTGTTTTATACAGAGAGGGCAGAAAGCTCTGATTTTTATAGTACCTTTCTGCCTATACTCCCTTTGCCTTTAAAGAAGTCTCCTAACAGAGCTACAAGGTTAAGTTATTTAAGTTGTATTTTTGAGCTAAAAGTGTATCTAAAGACATAATACCACTGCAGACCAGAAGGTATAGTACTTTAAATAGCCTCCCTCCCTCTACCCACCTCACAGAATCAATTAAGTTGGAAAAGACTTCTGAGTCATCAAGTCCAACCTGTGGCCGAACACCACCATGTCAGCCAGACCACAGCACTGAGTGCCATGTTCAGTCTTTCCTTAAACACATCCAAAGACAGTGACTCCACCACCTCCCTGGGAAATCATTCCAATGTCTAATTACCTGTTCTGTTAAAAAATTCTTGCGAATGTCCAACCTGAATCTCCCCTGGTGCAGCTTAAGACTATGTTCTCTTGTCCTGTTGCTTGTTCCCTGGGAGAAGAGGCCGATCCCTACCTGGCTGCACCCTCCTTTCAGGCAGTTCCAGAGAGTGATGAGGTCCCCCCTGAGGCTCCTTTTCTCCAGGCTAAACACCCTCAGCTGCTCCTCACAGCACTTCTGCCCCAGACCCTTCACCAGATTCATTGTCCTTTACTTTCTACATCATGCAGAAATGCACAAACATTTTGGTTTATCTAACTCCAAAAAGGAACAAATTACACGTTTACATATTTTTGCAGTGGACTCCTGTTTTTGAAAAAGCTGTCTCCTTTCACAAGTTTTTAGTTGCTGCTTCATAACCTTTCCTCAATACTGTTTTTCTAAAGAATGAGCATTCTAGTACTGTGTACAGTCTTTGCTCTTTTCCCAAAAACCTTTTCATGTCTGTGCAGGGAGAAAAATACACTTAGGTAAAAATCTTTGAATTTCATTTTCCCTAGAAATAATATTTACCAAGAATGAAATTCAGTAAATGTGTGACTTATAAATATAGCTTAGCCATATAAGCTTTTGATATCTGTTGTAGCTTCAGGTTCAGTGCTTTAAAGTGAAAGAAGGAATCCGGTTTTTACAACAACAAGTGAAATAATTTGAATACTGGGGAAGTGTCCCAATTTATTTTATAAATTCTTAAAACAAAAACTTCTGACATAATTTTTTTTTCATTTCTTTTCTTATAAAGAAGAGGAGGATGAAGTTAACGGTGAATCAGCAGTGTCTGTCCAGAATAAATCTGACGAAGAAAAAGCAAATGATGTATCTCACCTCTCTGCTTCTACAGAGAAGCCACCGTTGCCCAAAGACGCCCTGCATAACCCCGAGCTCTCCGATTTCGGTCTCTCACAATATGCTTTCTCCAGGCCTTGGAGCGCGCTGAGAGCACAGCACACAAGTGCGCGCCAACTAAAGTCAAAGCATGAGACTCCGCTAAAACTGCGAACACCCCGGGCTTTGCCCAAAACACCCAAGTGTAAGCTAAAGATGGATGACTATGAGTCTGCAACACCAAAACTTGAACACTTTAGCATGAGTGAACATACCATGTGTCTGAATGAAGATTACACGATGTCACTTATTCATAAAACTTCTCATACAATCAAAAAGTAAGTTACTGGAGTTCAGATTGTTTCTGTACTGAATTTTCTGTATTTTCTTCTTGCTAATCTAATGTCTTGCTCCTTTTGCCCATCTCTTTGTCTTCAGGTGGGTGATTATCTCTCAGGCGCTGGGTCCTGTGTCATTGAACTCCCTACACATCTTTTCATGTACCCATTGCAGTGCCAGATGCTGACATGAAATACATCTGGATGTGCTCCTTGCCTTGACTGCACCATAAGAACCTTCCACACACAATTTATTTACAAAGAGAAAAACACAATGTGATCTGTTGTTTTCCTTAACCAAAAGTTTGAACCGGGGCTTGTCTGCTGTAGATATTACACAGCCAGTGTAAAGGTTGCAGAAGCTTTATTAATATAAACAGAAAGCAGTTTGTAAAGCATTCAATAAATTTATAGAAGCACTGTACTGTTTCTAACATAAGCCCTGCCTTACAGTATATTCCTTTTGCTCCAGTCTTCTGCTGAAAAGACTTCTCTAGATTTTCACTGTTCTAATTATAAAGAAAAATAATTGCAGCAGTGAGGTCATGTGTATAGTTAATAGGTCATGTTTTTATAGGTAGTATTAGCAATTTCCATTTTGTTCCATTTTGAAAGCTGACAGTACCTAAATATTTGATATTCAGAGAAATTGTTTGGAAAACAAGGAACATATGCATGAAAACCACTCTAAAAATTCCACTGGTTCTACTCATTGTAAAAACTAAAAATCATATGGTTTCAACTACCTCTAAGACTTCAAAGACAAAACGGACTTGAAAACTGCTTTTTTATTTAAACTAAAGTTTGAGATGTGTTCATCTAAGTAAAATATACTGCTTTTTGGGTTTTTTTTTTAGCTTAGACATTTTGTAGAGAAGATCTAAATTTGGTTATGATAGTTAACATTACTTTTTAAACATTTAAAATAATTTTCTTTAAAGACACAGACTTGTGTGCAGGTTAGGTAAGCTTCCTCTCTGCCTGGTATTGTCTCTTAACTTCACTGTTTCACTAGAATATCTTGAATATGAAAAAATATTTTTTAAAATTTCTGTTTCCAGTGTTATGGAATTGATATTAAATAGCTTGTCACTTTGAAATAACTAAATTTTATTTCAAAATAATTTTGGTATCTCTCATTTTAAGTAGTTATGTAATTACTAAAATTACTTTAAAGCTCTATATATTTGATTAAGATAAACAATCTTATTTAAAGTTAAAAATTCAATTAAAAATCTTTTTGTGTTCACAAAACCCTTATTAATTTAAAAGCAAAAGATATTTCCTCTTGTACTATATAATTTCATAGGCAACAGGCAGTTCAAAATAAAACCCCTAACACAGAATTGATCATCTGTCCAACCCTGGACATCTGGTTTGGGTTTGTTTTTTTTCTTAATGCCTTAGATTGAAATCTCAGTGATTGATCATTTGTGCCTGGACTGAACATTTGCATAACACAAATTGCAGTAGAATCACAGATGAAAAAATCTATAAAAAATTCAGATTTGAGAAAACTAAATTTTTACTTGCATGTTCATGAATGAATACTAGAAAAGTGATTAGGTTGGCAACATTTCTTCAATTGTGACTTCTTCATAATACTTGAGAGCTAATTGGTTTGCAGGTTGTTTAAAAGAGGAGATGATACTGGAGGGAATTTGCCAGAAATGACAGTCAAGGAAATCATGGTTACTCCTGCATCAAAATCAAGTAAGAGAGCTGAGAATGGTAAGTTAAAAATCTATGAAAATAATATACATATGCACTTTTACAGTATGCATGTGTAAATGCATTGTAAACACATGGTTAATTTAAATTGTGTTTCTAGCTAAATATGGTTATTTCAGGGCAAGTCATCATATGAGTAGTAATGTCTAAAAAAACGTTGATGGCTTCTGTGAGAAAGTTTCTTACTCCCTATAAATTTTTCCTCATTCTTGTACTCATACATTCATGTACTCATTTGGAATTATGCAGAGGAATTGATCATTTTGTAACTGCAAATACGTTATCCATATTTGAAATAAAATTACTGTTTTGCCTTACTTAGCCTTTTTTTTCCGGAGAATACCCATTGGATCTATTTGAAGACAGGAAAGGAAGGGGCTAGCAAGACAGCAATTTTTCAAGAGTAGTGCTAAAACTTCTTTGAGAGGAGAAGTAGATTATTTTAAAAATCTTGAGACAAACATAGTGACAATTGAGTAAATGAGAAGGTAAATCAATGCTGATTTAAGTTGGGCTTCTCCAGCTATATTCAGTAGTGGGACTAGAACGGCTACTTTGCATTTGCTGCTTTTAAGGAATACTGTAATTTGGCTCAATCAAGCAAAATATCAACTAAAGTGATACATGTTTTAGAAAATGAAACTGGAACTGGTAATAGGAATATGTGTGTGTGTACTTCTTATTTTATTTTGCTCACCCTTGATAGCAGCAGCTGACTGGATGGCTTCTCCTATGGTATTTGTGTTCTGTACTCCGGATGTGAAGGATAAAACGAATAACACAGTATTATCAACGTCACCAGAGACAAAGGAACTGCCTCTTCCCAATCGTACAGCAACACCACAGTGTCCAGATTTTCATACAAGATGGCTAAAAGCAGAAGCTAAGGTAGTAAATAGCAATTATGTACATTTTCATACACTTTGTCTTAAGCAGATTTTAATATGTCAGCTTGGGATTCTTTTCCAATACTATTTTTTCTTATGTCACTGTAGAAGTTCTTTCTAATAGTAATTCTGTAAGAATATTTAGTAAATGCTTTACCTAACATAAGTAAATTAACTGAAGGCATTTAATACTTCTTTTGCAGCAGCAGGTAATGTCAGGGGGGAAGATTGAGTCAGTGACAAAGAACGATGCAAAAGATACACCATACAAAGAAGAAAAAATTCCGTTTGCTGCGAGCTCTGATGAGTATCTTAAACATTGTGGTGACCCTTCCCCTCCCAAACTGGAACACTATGACCATTTACTCAATACTCCTCCACCTCCAGAAATAACAAGGATACCAGATAATGTTCTAAAGGTTAGCTAATATGCTTTTCCCTAGCTAATTTTAATATCAAAATACTAGAATTAAAAGGGCCTAGTTCTATCTGAAATCCATCTATTTTGAGTTCTTAGGTAATTATTTTTATTCCTGTTTAATGTTTCCTATAGATGCTTTCCCAATATAATAAGGTATACTCTTCTAAAGCCAAGGAAACAGAGACCAAGGCAGGAACTACACGCTATGAAGGCAGTTCCACTGATTACTGCAACAAAGAGAACAGGTTTGATTACATTTTACAAACTTGGTTAAGTAATTTAATTTGTGGGAAGTACAAAGAGGCTTTAATGCACTTAGAAATTAATGTAGCTGCTTGCTTTTCTACTATCAAAGCAGCCCTTGTTTCTGTGACTAAATAACTGGGGTTTGGCATGGTGTATGGCTACCTGTTTATAAAGGACAAATATTATAGCTGATGGTGTGTTTGGATCCTCCCAAATTTTAAAAAAGAAAAGAAAAAAAAAAGGAAGGCAGAATTTTACTGTTGGTTTATCTCAAGGTATACTTTGTTCTGTGGCAATTAAAGCACCAGTGAATGTTTTCTGAGTAAATTTAGGCAGTGAAACAAAATAATTTGGAGACAACTATCTAAGTGAGAAATTATTTCACCCTTGTTTTGGTAAAGACAGAATTCTTTAAATGAAAAGCTACAATAAGTATGAGTAATCTTAGAACAATTGAATTATAGTTTTATAAAGAACACCATCAATTTGAATATAAAAAAACTTTTATGACAACTTTATCAAAGCATACATATTCCTGATTCAATGTAATCTATATTATGCTTATTGATTATCTGTTAAACTTAAGAGTCTGTAGAGTCTATTATTTAAATAAGAGGTACAAGAAATATGTAAGGAACAACAACCCAGAGTGAAACTGATAAAAGTTGGTATCTTACTATACTTGGGAGTTGGAATCCATTTGAGTCATCTCACTTTAGCTGACTCTTTTTTTTGTTGTCAAAATAAAAAAGACAAGTTTTCAATATTTCTGTCTTCTGCTAATTAAAAATATGATTTAAATAAGCTCATGATTACATCTGGGTATATTTTCAGAGGATATCATGGAGTTTTCAAGACAAACATCTGAAATCAAACTGAAGACCATGTTGAAACTTTCACATTCATGGATCTTATCACCAAACCAGAACAAGTTCAAAAAGCAAAAGGAAATACTGATGGGAAGAAAGAGCCATACCGAGAAAAGGCTTTTTTAATGGAGAAAAATTCTTTATCCATTATGTGGATAAACTTGTTTGAACTAACAGCTTGTGCTTAATTTTCTATTGACATTATTGTCAAAATGTATTGAGGAGTTTTAAACATATGGCACTACAAAGAGGAATGAAGATCCATGTACAAGGTGGTACTTCAGTTGTTTGTTGTGTAGGATTGCATTTGCAGTAGGCTGTAGAGAGTACACTCAGGTTGTAATAAAAGGTAAGTCCAGTATATTGCTTTAAAAAGAGGATATCTCTGGCTGTTCTGGTGACTGTCATTTTAGGGCTGAGGCTGTCCTCTGGTACGTCAACAGTATTTGGTATCTTCAACAGAAACAAGTAAATTGTTTTGTATTGGAAGAGTAACTCTTGCTTTAGTGTTTAAAGTACTTCTGTGCTTTTAGTCCTTTCTGCGTTGCTAAGATGTATCTGACACATTCCTGCATCAGACGGACTGTTACCGCTCTGGCAGACAGGTATTTCCCATGCAGCTTCTTTATTTATACTTCAACGTTGTATCAGGTGCTGTGCATCTGGTTTCTTTGTAGCCCTAGAAGGTGACTCTTGCTCTACTGTGAACAATTTGAAAATGGGTGATTATTACTGGTTATGTGTATCTTCAGCTGCTTGGAAGAATTTGCTGGTAGGCCTGTAGGTGATTGCTTCCTCTCCTGCTGCTGCCATGTGTATTCTCTTCAGTGCTGGTGTCACTTCTAACCCTTTACTAGCTGACCAAGCTGAAGTTCTCAGAGCTGTTTGGCACTCTTTTGGTAGTCATAGTAACTAGGATTTTTTTCTACCTGCACTTTTTCTGTTTTCCACTAGAAAACCCAGCTCCATATCCTTGTTTGAAGCCAGTTTGCTGTTTCCAGTGTCAGCTTTTCCTCTAAGTGACTGAGGACTGTTCTTAGCGTTTGCCTTCCAGCTGATGACTGAAATTCTGTCATTTCTATGAGGGCAAACATGCAACACATGAGAGACTGTCCCAGGAGATGAGAATAAGTGGGTGTTTTTCTGAACTCAGCTCCACATTTTTTTTTTGACTCTTCAGGATATGCAAACATCTAGAGATTCCCACAAGTATTTCTTCATTTGCTTAGACTTGTCCTGGTTAAAACTTAACAAGTAAAGGTGCCTTTTTTCCTGCTATTAGTAATTTTCCATTATAAGCATACAACAAATTAATTGGAGAAAGTGATTTTTTACTAGTTCTGACCTAGGCACACTGTCATCGAAATTGATAGTTTCTGTTTAAAAGTGTGTATGTATTAGTGTGTCAGTCTGTGAGCTTAATTAACACTATTGGATACTAAATAAATCTGTCTCAAATGCTTTGTGTGTGCTATAAGAACACTTATTTGCTCTACCCATCCTCTTCAGAGTGAAGGCCACACCTGCTTCCAGCTTTTTCATAGATTAAAAACCTGGTGGGGTGAATGCTGCTTCTGAAATTTAATGGCCTTGGAAAGGCACAAAGTATTCTTGCTGCAGAACAAGAAGGTTTCAACCAGACAGATTTACCAGCACTAAACAGGAGGGATTTCACAGCCTGCATTTTCTTTCCTGCCCTGAAGCAAGCCAGATACTCTTTTAACATGAAATGGAGCAAGCAGCACTACTGTCCCAGACCTTGATGTATTCCCCCTGCCTTCAACTAATTAAATTCACAAAGGGCTTAGAAAAGTCTCTTCCCTAAACTTGAGAACAACTCGGCACTCCACTGTGTTTTCCTCCATTAGAGAGCTGTGGAGCTGTACCTTGCAGTGCTGAGGTTCTCCTGCAAGTCACTTGCATAATTTTGCTTGCCTATTAATATTTTTTGCTACATATTATTAACTAATAATTATCTTCATTATGACAAATGAAACCTTAAAATCTTCTGGTCTACTCAAGCTATTGTGACATGATATAGGGATGAGACTTTTTGGAATCAAGAAATTAAGTTGTGTCGGTTTTGTTTTTCTTGCCAGCAATATTACTCTAACACACATAATATTGTTGTTTGTATTTGTATTCTTTTTCTATAGGCAAAGCAATGCTCTGAGATAGATATAATCACGGCAGCAAAACAAAAACTAATTTCAGTTTGCTGTACTACATCTTTGAAATTCCTTTAGGTTTCAGGATGTCCTAAACAATAGTTTGAATAAGGGCGGGGGAGGGCAGAAATGGCAGAGTGAAAGTGTAAGCACTGGAACACTGCTGAGAGAGGCAGTGGAGTCTCCTTCTCTGTAAATATTCAAAACACACCTGGATGCAATCCTGTGCAATCTGCTATAGCATGGGGGGTGGGACAGGTGGCTGTGTGGCTGTCTGAACAAACCAAGGATGTGGCCATGGGGCTGGAAGAGGGTAAAACTCTTAAGCCAGTGTTGCTGCTGGAGAAAGTTTCATCCAGCTGCACTCTAAACTTAATAACACATCAAACATCAAAGTGGGAACAATGCAAAATAACCTAAATTTTACATGTTGGTTTTTTGTGGGGTGAATCTCTTCAACAGCATTGGCCTGTCAGGAAGTGCCATTTGGATAACCAGTAGCCACGTAAGCAGCAAACACAGTGGTTCTGTAAGAGACAGTCATCACCTGGAAACAAGCAAAATTGCCAGAGAACAGTTTTGTGTTGTGCTTTATTTAGTTTAACTGGAGGCTGCTTCCACTAGAGCCTGTTTCACCAATTCCCTTGCACAGAATCTAGGGGTTATACAGTTTTACAATGGATTTCTTCATTTGCCAAGACACTGAAAGGCTAATTATTTTTGTTTTCTAGTTTGCCCTTCCCAACAGTAATCTCAAGCTCAGCTTTAGCCTGTGTGAGTGCTGGATCAGATGTAAGGGAAGGGTGAGAAGGGGATCACATCTCCTAGCAGTGCCTGCTCTCAGAAATTTTGTGCTAGCCCAGCACAAAATTGCTTTTCAGTATTTAAAAACATCTGGGAAGTAACCATAAAAGCATAGCCTTTACTTTTCCTTCATTTGCTATGGTTCTTAATTTTTTTTTTCTTTTTTTTCTTTTTTTTTTAAGTATATCAAAAGTATCAGCTGACAGAACCCCCCTAATCCCATTTGTTGTCAAAGGAACATCTCAATTGTTCTGCTCAGGAAGCCCCTTAATAAGGTGGTCAGTGCTTCCTTATCTGGGAAATACTTTGCCTCACACAATCATAGGTCTCTCGGTGGTATGAAACTTCTGAGATGGTTGTCAAAGGGATAATTGACAAGCATTGCTTCTAGTGTCTCCCATTGTGCTTTTATTCATGTTTTTATTAACCACCAGAGTAATAATTGGACTCCAGGCTTCCTTGTTTTTTTTAAAGCACCATGGATGCTTTAAATTTCCTTTAAAATGTTGTATTTGCTTTGTTCCCTCTTGTCCCTATTCAAATGTTCCAGCACTCTTGGCAGTTGCACACACTCCATCAACAGCTGTAGCTGGTGTTGGATCTGCCTTCTGGTTTGGGAGTACCTTGTTGTTTCCCCATGAGACAATAATACAGATACTGTAGTGTTTCTAAGGAGCAAAGACAATATCCAGTGGCCACACTGTGGAATCACACATATATTTTCCAAAGGAGCACAATTTTCTGCCAGGAAGACATTGGTGATGCTGCCAGTACCAGCTTAAATGTAAGACTTTACACCAATACCTACTTTTTTACAAAGGGGCAGTTGACATAGTAGGGAGCTGACCAGATGCAGGAATTTCTTTGAATTTGTCTTGCCTAATGCAAGTTGAAGAGTTTTTTTAAAAAGTAGCACAAATGCATGGGAAATGGTCCATGGAATAAGATGCTCTGTCACACAGGCATTTATGTGGGAAGAGGTCAAGCAAAGCATAGTTGCAGAATATCCAGCCGGAAGGTGTTCAAATTGCTTCCACAATTTTTGACATATTGTATTCCTGGCTTAAAGCCCTGGGGTTACATTCTCTAATGATTGCTTTCAAAATTGTTGTAAACCAATCTAGGGCCTTCTGCATGTTCCCACCTTTCCTCCCCCAGCTGCAGGTCCCACACTGTAGGTTATTGCTTGCATCACAGCAGTTGTGGCTGCAGGGAAATCCATTCCACTTTCCCAACCACTGGGAGCTAATTACCGTTTTCCAGGGTTAAATTGTACAGGGACTGCACTGACCCAAATCACTGCCTGCCTGCAAAAGCCTTGGCAGTTGTTGAGGCATGAGAAGGGAAAGGATGGGTGTGGGAGCCACGATGTCCTCCTTCCCTGGCTGGGTGAATCCTATCCTGTCTATCTAGCTGCTTTGGTAAGGCTGCCTAAAGCTGTTTCTCTATAATCACTTTGGTGGCAGCTGCAGAAATTCCTCCTCTTCACTACAACACCCAACACTCCTCACCAACTCCCCTCTCACTGGAACAACTTGGGTGGTTGTGCATGAATTGGGCTGGAGAGAACAGAGCTGCTAGGACTAACCTGGCACTTGCAAGAGGGCCCTATCCATAAGTGCAGCATTGGTGTGGTTTGTTCCTGCTTGTGTAGGCTGCTGTGGCTGGTGAGACCTATTTGAAACCTTTAGTACTTCCATAAGCATGTGCTTCCTGTCTCCCTTTCTAGCATAAGCCTCCTGCTCTCCAGAAATATTGTTACGGCAAAGGCAGTGGGGATGGGGCATGCTTTACCAGCTTTACCCAACCTGGACTCTACACAGCCTCAGCTGAGCAAGCATTTGAGGGCATTCAGGGACTGCTGTGTGCCTGGTACTCTTCCTCAAATGCCCTCATGGAAACCACTGTTTTGGTTTCCCCTCCTGTCCTCTAAAGCCTGGGCCAAGTGCAGGCCCCTGTTAAAGATCCCCAGGTCTTTTTAAGTCTGAAAACACTACCTCGTGTTTGCCTGAAGCACAGCTTGGGGAATTGACAGCTCAGCCAGCAGCTGGAGGAGCTCACCCAGAGGAGCCCTTGAGGCTGTCATTTGCACTGGATTTTCTTGCTGAGTGTTGAGGAGGTCAATTTAGGTTTTGGGTGAGGTTGTTTCTATTTAAGCCTGTCAGTTCTGTGAGATTGGAAATACCCCAGGGAAGGTCCCAAACACCCCAGCCCCTCTGACCCCAGCCATTAGGCAGTTAGGACCTTGCCCCAATATGCCAGCCAGACACCTCCTCACCACTGGCAGGTGTTTGTGGCCAGGTGCACAACACCACATGGGTGTTTTGCAAGACACATGCCACAGGGGGAACCGATGCTGGTTTTTTTAACCCATCTGAGTCACACAAAGTCCAGACACGAGGGCTTAGACAGCAGCAGATAATTGGATTGCTTTGGTTTTGGCAGGTTGAATCTTAGCTGTTGCATTACTTATAGTGCTGCTCTTTGAACACTACCCTCCCTGGTAGTCATCATTCACCTGCTCTGACACGACAGGATTTCAGAGACCTCCTCATTTTTCCATGCTTTCCAATGCAAAAGTGAGAACTTGCTGATAATGTTTGATGTGTTCCTGCTGCATCACAGCTGTTACTGCTTTTGAAGCAGAGCTGTAAAGTAAAATTTAAGTCTTCACAACTGCTCCAGTCAGATGGCAAACACAGAGGGAAGACTATGCTGCTGCCCAGCTTGCTGAAAAAGTGTAGGAGTTGTCCTCCATCTTTACACTAAGGAGGCAATCAACCCTTACACCATGACCTCTCCCAAAAGTGTTGCAGAACTTCTCTCAGGCTTGTGCTGCCACTGCAACCAGTGCTGGCTTTCTGATGCTGTAGTCTCTGTTTGTGGCTGTACATATGTATGTACCTATACTGGAGGGATGATGAAATCGGAAGGTGACTGTGAAAACTTAATTAAGGCCTGAGTATGTGGAAAAGAATCTTTTTTCCTCCTGTTAACTGAAAACCTGTCTAATGATCAACAGTGGCAGCAATATTTAAGTGAGGCGTTACAAGGTAATGGTGTGGGGGTTGTGGAAAAAAAATAGCATTTTTTTATATAAAAAGAAGGTATTCTTTTCTGTTTATTAGATTGAAAAAAACCAACATTGGCTTAGGTGCATAAAATGAGGGGGGAAAATTAGAACTAAAAGTCAAATTTGCTTGGGGAAGCACAGCAGAGAGTCCTTCATGACAGGCAGGAAAGACACACCAGAAGAGACACAGAAAGAGGAAGAAGCCCCATGTATGGGAGCAGGGCAGCCTCCAGTAGCTGCTACTTTTTTAGGTAAAAAAGAAATTAGGGGAAGTTAACTTGGTTCTGTAGCTGGGTCTATTTGACTGTGCTGCACCCCACAGGCAGGATGTAGAATGCTTCTGGCCCTGCCAGGGAGCCCAGCTCACTGGGCT